TGACTTTGACAAAAGCTTCAATAATTTTATTTCGATTTTTACATCTTGTACGTATTTCTTGAACGATAGATTATTTGAAAACTGTGGATTTTCGTTACAAATGTCAAATAATGGAAACAAATTAGCAATATTAAATGGATAAATCATTCGGCCAGTTCTGGGAAACTAAAGTCTAATTTGGACTGGCCTGAGTGTCGCATGACTTGTTAATAACTGCACATTTTAGTGTGTGTATTGAGCGAAATTTTGTGATGTTGTCAATGCTATTACAGATGAACTCAAACAGAAAGTTATCGCGAACTTTATAAGACATGTCCTAATTAAGTTGTTATTCACACTTTCACCATGAATTAACAAAACATTAAAAGTGAAATATTGTCATCGATATTATAAAAATGTACTCTCTTTTTTAAAATAAATCACTTCGTCGTCAGAAGAATCGGAAGAGAGACTGACGTTTCCAAAGATGTGTCGAACACTGCTCATTAAGAACTGCTCGGGATCGTTGGAGGGGCATCTTCTCCTTTGAATAGCGTAGAAACAGATAAAGCTAAATGCTAGGACGCCAACCGGCAATAGCCACTATTAATATATGGTTCTTGCCTATAAAAGAGTATACAAATAATGAATGTTTATGAGTGCAATGGTAAGAATATTTTCATGAGGTGAAAGATGGAATGTTCCATTCAACGAGGCGACAGCCGAGTTGAATGGAACATTCCATCTTTCATCGAATGAAAATATTCTTACCATTGCACTCATAAACATTCATTATTTGTTTTATATAATACCAAAAATAGACTAATAAATTCGTATGAGAAGCATTTTGACGGATGCGATTTATCGAAAACACAAAGAGTGCAATGGAATAAAACGTATAGTACAATTACACTCGCAAAGAGTGAGTGCAATGGAACGTATTCCATTGCACTCTTGGGAAATGAATTTTCTATTCAATATCACGTGACCATAAACAGCCAATTAAACGATCAGAATTCAATAAGGTATTATATAAGATGTAATCGCAGGTTATAGCCGATGTTTTGGGCCAATGTTTGAGATGTAGTGTAGGTTTTTAGGGAGGCCATAGGTCGATCTTCTGTTTGTCTTTATTCTGTGTCCCTGGTTTATCGCTACTAAACCACAGTCGAACCGCAACTAAATTGCGACATTTAGTACTATTTCAATGTTGGGGAAAAATCTAATTTCGTAGTACTTGTATTTGACAAAAAAAATGCAAATATTATTAATTTGTCCAAATGATGCGCACGCACATATGCTAATAAGTTTACCGGTCTAACAATTGTCCCACAATAACAGCACGAAATTTCCGGCTATAAATACCGAAAGAATATTTTGTGCCGGTAGCTTTGCGCAGTGGCATTATCGTAGCCGATGAGGTTCATCCGAGGCGCGATTATTGCTGATTGAAAACTTATACCAATACCCCGCCAGACGGCCTATATGGCCGGATGTGCAATTTTTCTTGGTCCTTCATTGGACCGATTTTACTCAATCAACCAAACTTAATAAAAATTACAACAAAATAATTCCCACTAACCGGACAAATCAATTTGTTGACACGGTAACCCTTATCTCTTCTGTGACGGTAATGTAAAATATTGTGTCGAATCAAACTGGATAGTTCATCAATTCTAAACTGTTCTCCATAGATGTCCAGTAATAACTCTTAATGGTTTACTACAGGGCCAGTTGTTCCTAAGCTGATAAGCTAAGTTAGCTAACCCTAGGTTAACCTAAACCCTAGGTTAACCTAAACCCTAGGTTAACCTAAACCCTAGGTTAACCTAAACCCTAGGTTAACCTAAAATTTAAAGCAAACATCCCAACCAGCTTGTTTATAAATTTGAAAATATTCCTTTGGAAATCTTGTCTGAATCAGTAGGAGTTTTCTTCTTTGAAGTTTTGAAATAAACAGACGTGCAGAAATACATGAACTAAAACAGCGGGTTAAATTTTAACCCAGGGTTGGCGCTACTCCAGCTTTGGATAATTGGCCTCAAGAGGAAACATAAAGTGAACTAACTTTGGCATTCTAAACTGTCGTGTCCCAACTCCCAGGAGGTCTAGTAATTAATTAAGAGACAACTTGATATGTAGACTCAACGAAGCACTCCAGAAGGATTTAGTAATTATTTTATACATTTGTTAGCTATAGACCCAACCAAAAATGCAACAGTATCGATCGACCCTGACTGGCAGGAATGAAGCCTACATCAACATAATTCCAGTGCATCGCTCTAAAGCCTGGTTCACACTGGTCGTAATTCATCAGCGATCTATTGTATTCTTTTCCGACAGACAAAGCATTTTACACACCAATGACCACAGACAATGAAAATCCCATATTCTTACAACCAGTGTGAACCAGGCATAACCAACCAAACTACCGAGGCCAGTTATCAAGCCCTGAACACAAGTTTATGTACATACAAAGTCATAAAGCATGCAGCAAAAAATAGGATCCAAAAAACCATTAGAGTCAACAGAACAAAAGGAGCATTGGGAAACTGGTAGTCTGCGTAGCATGCACTTTATTTTATTGAATTTATGTTATTGAAGGTTTTGAGGATTTTTGAATAAATGGCCGCACAGATATTTTTCGTTATATATTTCTAATCGTGTAATGTTTCCTTCATTAATGGAATATGCGTTTACCTTGCTAAGACGAGTAATGGTATATTTCTGAGATGATCGGCTGTTAATAAAATCGGGCCCACATTCTCTGCATAATTCTTGAGATCACGTTGCTGACATGACATCTACCAAGATAAATTACACGAACAGCATAAGCAGGAGAGATTTATAAAACATAAAAATAAAAATTTGGGAAAAATATAAAATAAGCACAATCTTACCAATATTTTACAATGAGCTTGAGCAGACTTGTACAAAACAATTCCAGTTAATACATCACAAATCTATCGGAATAAGAAAACTAAAACTTAGCATTCTCCTTAATGTCAAGTAAACGCATCAAGAATATAAAACAGAATAAAACGATAAATGACCAATTATTATGAGTTAGTGTTTCTTTAAAAACTTACCAGAAATATGGATGGCATCGTGAAATTACTCGTTTCATTTTGAAATAAATGAAAAAGGAGCAGTATTAGAGGTGGCTGGAATGGAAATAGTAAGAATTGTTATGTGCAATGGGATAGATTAATTTTTCTTCATTTCAAAAAAGATCAACACCACTTCCCCCTACAGAGGCATTTTTTTGTCCAGGGAGGGTAGGGGTAACATATGCCTCTGGGGCCAATTGTACAAAAGCCAGACAGCGTGCTATCCACCAGTACAATGAAGTTGTAATGAATGATTGAATTTTCAATGCCTTCGCACACTTCTGTGACATCTGTAGTATTATACTAAGGATGTTAATTTCCAATTTCTTCCATGGGAGGAAGGCGTGGTCTGGCCCAATGATATTCTTAAAAGCACTTTCATATTGTACTTGTCATAATTACCTCATGAACAGTGTCACCAGTGTATGGGGATATACCATAGTCCAAGAGAGATAATCCTTCTAACACTGAAATAATAAAATCAAGGTTGACCTATTAATACCAAAAAATCTCCCCAATGGCATTGTCCTCAGGCTTTTAGCCAGAACAGCGTCCAGGCGTCCTGGGACGCCCCTAGAACGAAAAATGGACGCCTTTGGACGCCCAAATTCTGGGGGAAAAGGGAAATTATTTTCAATTATTTCCCTAAGCATATTAATATATCCGAAAGACTGAAACAAAATAGCTTCAATTCTCATTATTATTGTACATTTGACATTTTGATCAATTTGATGGTGTACCTGGCTGAATGAAAATGTCATAAGTAAAGAAGCATAGCGGCACAAACTCACAAAGCCAAGTGTGTTTGAAAAATTTTGAACGAACTTGGAACAGATACTGACATGAAGTAACGTAAACTTCAAAGGTTTTCCTGAGGAACGTGTTCTCAACCCCCCCCCTTACTGTAGATATATCGTTGTACCAAAGTTGGACGCCCTCCAATGTTTAGGATCCTGGCTAAAAGCCTGATTGTCCTCTCATATACACGAGCAGTCATCAAGATGAAATATCCATCTGACTCATCATCCATCTAAGTAAGTGTGAACACAATATGAACTTATCCAGACAGCTACACATGATCGTGCAATCTACAGCCCTGGAAAAACGTCAAAATTGAGGTCGGCAAACCAACGCCAACTTAAATCTGAC